TAGTTAAAGGAATTGTTAAAACTCAGTCAATGAAGTGTTCCGTCAAAAGTAGGATTGCTGTATGTGGTTGAAATCGATGTGCATTTAGGGGGATCAACTTAAAATATCTATTTAAAAGTTCATGCTTTAAACGTCTCTCATCCGTTCTAAATCCACATGTCCAAAACCAGTCAACTGGAAATAGGAAACCTGCCAAAACGGCTGATAAATGCGAATGCACAATAAAACTATTTCAGGGACTCAGAGAAAAAACAAAAGTTCTTCTATGGATTCCCGAACACCGTGGCATTAAAGGCAGCGAGCGCGCTGACACATTTGCTAAGAGCCGGGGGGGGGGGGGCTCCCGATTCGAAAGCTACAGACCGGCCACTGTCTTTCCATATAATGAAAACTTCGATTAGGAGAGAATTCAAGACTTTAAGAAGCAATGAACTTAAGGGAGTGGACTGCGGTAGTCTTCAACATAGCCAACTGGCCAAGAATCAAAGTTGTTGCAGAGTTTAGAATGCCAGGTGAAACACCTTTATAGAATAGGAGTAAACGCTCAACCAACATACCCCCTATGTGACAAACCGGAGGAAATGGAGAAGAACCAATAGATACATGTTTAGCCCAGGGGTACTCGATAGACTTACCTCCACGTAGTGCACCCTGGACAACGTCTCTTCATACAGCAAAAAAGTCTGTCACTCGGCATTTTGACTTCTTTTTATTATGATTAGCTTGAAACAAGGCTATAAGAGAAATCACACTCGTCAGGGCGAATCACGTCTTCAGATCCTCCAGTGGAATGCTGGAGGGATGTCACGCGACAAAAAGATCCAAGTCCAGATAATCCTACAAACCTATGATGTACACATTTTCACAATTATGGGAGCAAACCTTTCAGATGACATACTGAAATGCTACCAATTCCCAGGTTACACCCTGTACCTTCTACCTAAATAAATTCTCAGGTTACACCCTGTACCTTCTACCTAAATACCGGGGCAAACATTTCGGATGACAAACTGAAGTACTACCAATTCATATCATTTCGGATGGCAAAACTGAAGTACTACCAATTCCCAGGTTACACCCTGTAGCAATCTACCTAAATACCGGCAAGTTGCAAGCGGAATTCTAACTGGAGTAAAAGAAGGCCTCACCTCACACTACGATCTAGTCAAGAGTATGGGCACGACACAAGAAATATGCGAAATAACCAGATTAAATGTTTGGAAATGTCAAAATCACTTCAAGATATATGTAGTCTACAAATCCACCCCAGAATAGTCCCAACTTTGACTTTGTGAACATCTCACACAAAACTACAGTACTAGGCGACTTCAACGCCCATTTCACCAAATGGGGCTACAAGGATACAAGCATAGCTGGAAAGAAAATCGAAGACATGCTAACAGCAATGAGGATCCTGCTAGGTTTGCACTGCAATGGAACCAGAACAACTCCTCACTTGCTCCTACCTTCAACCGACATAAGCCTATCTCCCTCACAAGCGCGCTGGCTAAACTTATGTAAAGAATGGTTAACAGGAGGTTGACTTGGTTCCTTGAGACCAACAATATTCTTAGGAGTGAAAAAGCAGGTTTTAGGCCACAAAGATCAACGAACAAACAAGAAGCCACTTTCTCCCAACACACCGAACATGCCCTAGTTGCAAGAAATACCCTTACGGCTGTTTTCGTTGATTTCAAATCAGCATATGACTTAGTATGGAAAGAGAAGCTAATTCTAAAATTGGCAAAAATTGGCATTAAGCATTACATGCTAAACTGGATTAAAGCATTCATAGGACAAAGATCATGTATGATATAAAATGCTCTATCAAAATCCAATCTTTTACAAACAGGTCTTGATTGCTCTATCAAAATCCAATCTTTTACAAACAGGTTGGAAATGCTCTATCAAAATCCAATCTTTTACAAACAGCTTAAATGCTCTATCAAAATCCAATCCTTTACAAACAGGCCTTTCACAGGGTGTCACAAGCTGCACTCTTTTCAATGTCTTCATCAATTACGTAGCCGAATTGGTACAAACAGTCACGGGCATCAAGTACTTACTTTATGCAGATGATCATGTTCCATGGAATTCCGCCCCTAAGAAAAACGCTAAGGAGAGGACAGATAGTGCCATAATTGGTGTGGAATGGTTATCAACACCACGAAAACTGCATTCCAAACCTATTCTTTGGCCCGACAGCATAAACCCACTTCTAAGGTACAAGGATACTACCCTAGGATACTACCCTAGGAAAAACCAATGAGTTCACTTATCTCAGAATGTATTTTTCAATAAAGCTAACATGGAA